ATATAAATATAGAGAATAAATGTGTACACATATATAAAGTATCGTCAACTTAATTATCTATGTAATATATTTCAATGGATTATAATCGACAGATCGAACGAAATTTCTCACAAAGAAATTCTTTTTAAAAGATACAGATGTTCTTTTTCTACTCGCTCGTTGCATAATCTCTATTATCTATTCAGTCGTGTCATTGCTGCCTATCTTACGCAATGCGTCGCCACGCGCCGCGTCGTAATATCAAAACGACAAGCCGCTCCCCTCGAAACGGCGACGAAGCAGCCGACGGCATTCGATCAAGTATCCGATACGCGCGAGGCCAAACGACCCGCTGGCCTACCGTCTCGGTTGCCCCCGCTCGTCCTCCACACGCTAATTTACACGCGGCTCACGAGGGTAATCTGCAGTCAACGGGCAGAATGGACATAATCAACAATTTAACCGAGCGACGAGCAGGAACGCAGGAGCAGCAAGTAGGAGAGCGGCCACGGTTGCCGCGGCGCGGCGGCCGCGTCGTGCCTCGTGCCTGCGCCTCCTGGCCGCTCCTGTTCGCCGTGGATCGGAAAGACACAATTTTGAGGAAGAGCGCGCGGGCCTCTAAGCATCGTCGCGGCGCAGCCATACCCCATTGGTCCACGGCGATCTCTTTCCACCGCTTATTGGTTCAATGACTCCGGCGTGGACGGAAATTTCGGCAGGGCTACCGGGCCCGGCGAGCCGCCGCGCCGGCACGGCGCGAATCCTGCCGGGCCGCGCCCGCCCGCGCCGGAGATTCGCACGCGGCGACGCGCGGCCACGATCGACGCGTGGCCGTCCTGTGCATGCCTCGCGGGAGTCGGCGGACCGTCGTCCGCGGGGACAGTGACATCGTTTTTCCCCAAAATCGGCATTAATAACGCGCGATTCCCCGCCGCCGCCGCCACCACCGCCGCTGCCACCGCCGTCGCTGCCGTCACCGCCACTGTTGCCGACTAGGACGATGTACGCGGATGCCCCGACCTCGGCCGCGGGTTTCCACGGTATTGCTCGGACTTCGTGTCTACGTCGAACTGTGCGATACGCGCCGCGCGTACCCTCGCAACCACGGGAACGGCTCCCAAACGGATCGAACGTTATTACGTTTTCCCCTAAAATTAAAGTCGCTACGCGCAGGAGTGGGGACCACTACTTGCAACGAGGCGGTGTGTATGTATGTATACAGGGTGACTCACGCGACACATTGGAGTAGGCGATGACGTCGCGAGTGGCAACGACGCGGCAGAAAATTCAAGTTACGTGAATTATGAATAAGATAAATTGATATTGATCATCATACTCGATACTTAATGCAATAAGTTCGTCGTGAAATAAAGTTTGAAAATTTTATCGTGTAAAGTTCTGATATATTAAAGTTCTTAGGCAAAGCAGCGATTAAATGGAGAGTTTTACATAGGTCGCATCTTTGTTTCGATTATCATGCAAATAAGAAAACAATAACAATTGTTCAGTGTGCTATATTCTTAGTTCATTTTATTGCTAGAATTATTTTATTGTACAATATTCTAGGCATCTTGCTTTATTATAAACACGCGTTATTTGTTGGAACTTAAACAAACACACGAAAACACATTATAAGTTATAAATTCCATTATAATGAATATAATAAAATTATATATCGTATCCATTACATACCGTACTGAATAGATACAAGGGAATACGCACATTATACAATTCTATATTCGCATGCCGTACAAACATACTTGCCGTGAACACAGTTATGCCGATCTCTGTCGCGCACTCTCGTTACGTCCTCCGGTGCTCCGGGGAATCAATCGCGCGCGATTCCGCGATACACCCAGTACATAATCTCCGTGCGTGCACACGTACATGCATACGTACATAGGTCGGCGTTGTTGACACCAGCGCTTCTATCGGCGGCGTCACAAGATTACGGACGGCCGCATGCGTTCCTGTTGAAAAAATTCCTCACGGGCGAAAGTCAAGGTATGACGGAACATCGCCGGCGAGTCGGCCGGCTCGGCCGATAGAGACGGGAATCGGCTCTTCGCGCCACGTGCTCCCCTGGCAGCAGGAGGGGCTCGGCGAGACAACCCGCGCGAAACTCTGTTCAACGTAGGGAGAACGAAGCGCGTCGTACAAGCTCCTACCACCGCGTAGCGTCCGGATAACGCGGTGCTCGCATGCGGGATGTGAGCACGCACCACGTGCTCGTCACCGGGCCGGGCCAGGCCCAGGCCGGGCGCGTTGGGATGACGACGATCGCCGATCGGCCGCGCGCCGCGCCGATTCCTCGCATCGCGCCTTGTCGCGCCTCGCCGCGCTTCAACGAGCCGCCCTCGACTTCTCGCGGCGCGCACACACATACTTACGCGATCGTTTCTCGCGTTGAATTGATTTATCATGGTACGTGGTAGCGCACGTAGACCGTATCGATCGCCCGTTACTCGTGTCGGACCAGCGTCAAGCGGCTCCGGTCGCGGCACCGTGATCCTAAGCTCGTTTCGCACGCAGATCACCGCAGGGTGCAACCTCGAATTCGCTGATCGAATGGCCAAACGTGGAACATGAATGCCAGCTTTGAAGTACATTGCGCGTATAATCGCAGAGATGTTTAGGAAATATATTAGGCGCACAAGTATTATTTATCCTGTAGATATAAATATCCTGCATATTATCAAAGAAAGATAAAATAATTTAAATAATTTATTATAAATAATGTAACAAAGAAATCGCTACGGATGGGGTCGTTTCTCAACGGAGCTCATGATATATCGGATCTCGAATGCGAGAACCATATTCGATCACCTGCTGTTTATTTAAAAACTTTAATACGTCAGGAGTTTGCAAGAATTGCAAGAGCCACGTTTATTGTTATTCGATATAAAGTTTGTGGGGTGTAAAAAATGAGATTATCTATACGGTTGATCTGAGATATACGATACGAATGTATTTCTTACTCAGAAGCGAATTATCGCAAGGACCCCGTGGCGCAACGGTAGCGCGTCTGACTCCAGATCAGAAGGTTACGTGTTCAAATCATGTCGGGGTCAATCGTATAATTTTTTTCGTCGCTTTCTACGTGTTTTCACACGGCCACCATTTTTGTTGCCTGTTGTTGCAATGACGCTGTTCGATGACACACAGCGCATCTTCACTTCCATATTCACAAATATCAGATTGGATAATGTTAAATTTTTTTTTAATCTGAAAATATTAATGTCGAGTCAATTACTGTACATAAATATTACACACATACACACACACGTATATAATAATTATTATTATAATAAACATTTTATTAGCGCGTGGGTTGAAATATTTGTAAGGTATCTGAATTCCAGCAGGTAAATACTCGTAGCAGTCGTGGCCGAGTGGTTAAGGCGTCTGACTAGAAATCAGATTCCCTCTGGGAGCGTAGGTTCGAGTCCTACCGACTGCGTTAAATAGTGGATATTAATTTTTGTTACTAGATATATTCTCTTTTTTTTTGTAGCGCAGAAACCGATAGCCGAGTTGTTGTTCTATTTTTTTTCGCGTTATGCCTCATAACTACTATAGCGCGGAATAACGTCATTCGATTATTATTATCGGCTGTAACATCCGTAATTATCGCAGTAAATTGTGGTAACCTAATTGAATCAAGATTAAAAATTATTTTCTAATCGTGTTCTGCAATCGTGTAGAACTTTGAAATGTATACTTATTATTATTATATAGATAATTAGTGTAATTATATATGTTGCGTATTTTGAGAACGAACTTAAAAATTCCTCGATAGTATAGTGGTTAGTATCCCCGCCTGTCACGCGGGAGACCGGGGTTCGATTCCCCGTCGGGGAGATTTCTTTTTTTTTTTTATTCTAATGTGCAAATAATGTGCATTTATATAAAGACATAAATTTTGCTCAATTTAGGTAATTAGATTTACATCGATATATATATCTCAAAATTGGACTTACTTCGTGCATGTCTATGTCTTTTATCCAGCATCAGAAGATGCAGTAGAAAGGAAGGGAAGGAAGGGTCTTGTGTTAATATCTTACATCCAGTATAAGAATGATATTTTAAATATGAGTAAATAGAGAAGAAAACAAGAGATAACAAACAATATTATTTTTAAACTTCAAATCCAGATTACGCGCGTTTTCTTCTTGTGTAAAATCTTCATCATTAATCTAACACTTTATTTACAATTGCAATTCTCCTTGCATCTCCTTTTTAACATCTTTCATCGCCTTTGTACGTATGTATTTAATAATCAAAATGATACAGTTAGTAATAGAGGCAATTTGTAGGATTCGAGCCACGTTAATACACGTTATCATTAACGATATACTATAATACAAAGATAATCAACACATTTGTAAAGCTGAATGGTAAAGTGAGTCCTTATGGAATTAATATGGCGGAAAAGAACCCGTAGGCGCCGTGGCTTAGTTGGTTAAAGCGCCTGTCTAGTAAACAGGAGATCGGGGGTTCGAATCCCCCCGGGGCCTTGTGCAATTAATTTTTTTTCATTCCGAGCTAAGAGTACGCGCATACTTTTGTATAAGCAATTATCCGAATAATGTGCGCCCTGAGGTATGCCATATCATTTATTAAGAGTTTATAAGAGAATTAGCTTATTGGGTGAGATGTCTCCAAATTTTTTATATGAATTGATTAGTTTTATTTATACAAAATAGCTGTAATTACAACTGTTAAATATTATGTTTAATTAATATACAAAATATTCGAATACATGTAGAGGCCAACTTATCTACGATATCTTACATAATAAATAAATATAAGTGCACGTATTTTGCATTAAGTACGTTTTAAAAATTACACAAATAAAAAATTTTTATTATAACAACAAGTGCCGTAATATTCAGATTCAGAAGTCGAACTTGTATCCATTCCCAGAGACCTTTACGCGCGCGACCGACGGGGCGGATGAATAAGCGATACCCAGCAAATTCTGCGATTGTTGTTCCCTTTGTTGTTCCTGCTGCAATCGAGTTTGCTCGTCAGGCACCTGCGCACAATTACTATTAACAAAAACCACATTAATAGTCACGCGGCCACACGAGAATTATCTCCTATTAGATAATTCGACGACACGTTGATGAAATACGATGCGATACGCGAATTTCGGCAAAAATATCATGAATGCATCCGAATTTTCATTTTTGTTTCTGCATGATAAAACCTACCTGTTCCGATGGAATTGTGTGCAGTTGTCCTTGCTGAGCTTGCGTCAATTGTGCCAGACGAAGGGCGAGCAGTTGCCCCAATTGCGATTGATAAATCGCGCCGCCCGGCTGATACGCGTTCAAGTACGCTTGCTGCGGCTGCTGCAATTGTTGCGCGTACGTTAGCGCGGGATCTACGGTCTGACCCTGATACGCCAACGGGCCAGGCGCAAAATTTGGAAGGACCCCGCTCGCAGCAGGACCGAGCGTGTAATATCCTGTATAATGATTAAAACAGCTCAGTCGCGAGTCTCATCGTCAACTCGTCATAAAGATTAAGTTCTTAAAATTGAGGTCGTTGTTCCGTGAGTGCGATTCGAGCACAAGTTCGAAACGTAAAGATTATATAATTATCACACGTTTTACACTTGTTTCATAATTAGTGCTTACTTAATTACATAGTATTATCATTTAATTAAAAACAAATCCTGAACCATTTTTTTCCGCTGCTTGTACAAAGATATTTAATTCACGCGATAATATAGATCAGCACAAATGGATCATGTATGAATACCTTAAATAAATAATATGGTACTTCCTTTGTTAAGCATCGAGAGAAAATCAAAAGGAAAAATATTCATCTTCTCAACTTATTTTTTTATTAAGGAATAATGTTATGAGTAGACGCGAATTATGAAACATCCGGTGTGAAACAAGGCTTTGAATACTCGCACAAACCTAGGCCAGGATTTCTTTGGGCGAGAGCGTGGGCGATACTCGGATGAACTTTTTGCACTAGCTGAGGGTTGCCGATGCTAGCGGCGAACGATTGATGGGAGCTCGGTCCAGCGAACGCGAACGACGTTTGCGTTAGTCCTGGTCGGACGAAGCTGAAAGAGGTGTGCTGCTCCGGGCTACCTATTACATTCGTTGGCTTCACACCGACTTGGACCGGTGGCTCGGCCGTAACGAGATAACACATCGCACCTAGGACAACCGCGTGCTTCTGCAAGTCGCAATTTGATTCCGAGATCAGTCGAGGCAACCGAGATACTTGATTAGCGTAATGTAATTAGTCACAAAATTCTGAACGATGATATCTATCTTATCAGACATTTTTTTTATTAAAAAAAGAACACATTTCTCAAAGATACGTCGATAGTTATAATAATAATTTAATAACAATAATAATTAAAAATAATAATTATCAAAAATGATTATATATATCCCTGTTAAAATAATGGTATGTTTTACAATTGTTCTCATTGATTCTAATTGATTCTAAAAAACAATAGCGCTTAACAAGGTGTTAAATTAATAATCGTGTAAGTATTAATTTTCTGCAGAAATTTATTATTATTCTTTTCTTCTCAGAGAGTAGAGCACGTTCTCAAACTTTGATCCTTTAGAAATATCCTGTTTGAAAAATGAGACACTAAAAGTGTATAAGTGTTCTGTACGCAATTCACTCACCAACATCTTGAAAAATCGTCCGGTTTATCTTGCAACGTATAATAAAGAGGCACGGTATTATCGCTGGCGAAAATCACGACGGTATTACAGCGCGACGAAACCCCGTGGGGAGCTATATACCACGGAAACGGCTGGTGCGAAACGTGAGTCGCATCCGATCGACATCGTTTCAGCAAGACACTTTCTCCGGGACATAAAATGTCGAACAAATCCGTGAATCGCAATCAGACAATGACGTTATAGTTTCCTCAAAATATGACAGACGAAATGGAATGACAAGGTTCACGTAAACGAGAATCGTTATCCATTTTTAATAACAGTAGAGGAAAACAGGAATTTTTAGAATTGCGACCGCGAGCAAAATAATTTCTTCCGAGATCAAGTTCGCTGATAACGGAGAAAGTCACTTTCGAAATGCTTAATACGACAATAGCGTGACCGTACGTTGAGTATTAATTGCGATGAGGTGGTCGATAGAATTTCAAGTATCTAATCGATGGCGGTTTTGTTTCTATTGCAGCGAATACTTTTACTGTGGATATAGGGTATAAGGCTCTTTTAACAATATATATTTTTTCAATTATAATTTTCAACCATATAACTGATGAAAATAACAAACAATTGCAAACAATACTAATTTAATCCTGTTTTATTTGTACATTACGTGATAGCATGTTAAAATTCGTATATTGTATTATAATCACGTTTTTAACACGTTCATCGTTTTGATTTAAGTCCCCAAAGTCTTTATTTACAATACAATTATGATATTATTTATTGCCATACGCATTACAAAATCTTATCGGTAGCCGTTATCTTAATCATTTGGCGATAGGCATTAAAATAGGTAATCTGAAAATACGTATTTCAATGGACAATGATATAATAATGAATGGCTGATCTATGAATTAATGAAGATTTGTGCGATGCGACTGGATTTTTTTCCCCCCAATAGATCACTTCACATGTTCGAAAAATACGACTGATAAAACATGCCCATAGCACTGGTCGAAAATAACGCGAAACAACTCCACCATGTTGCTAAGCCTAAGACACCTCTGTACACATCTGTGGTAAATATCTATAACAAAACGAAATATATTTTTTAAATACTTTTTTTCGAAATATTACCGAAAGATAATAAGATTTAATAACAAAGAAAATATAACGTCTTTTCTTTTCACGAATATATTAAGACGTTACCTGTTTTAATGAACCTAACGCAAGTTGAACTTCTTCAGCGGTTTGTATAACAGTCTTGTCGATATTATCAGAATTAATTGTAGACGATAATGACTTCGGTAATTCGTCCGCTGGGCACTCTTCCTCCAAAGTTCCCTTTAAGATACCCTCCCAGGTAAAACCACCTGATCCAATAAGAAATATAGGATACATAAACAATGTACGTATATTATAACGTGAGCAGATTATATACTTCAGAATATTTCTTCATACCCAGTGTTTTGTACAAAAATGTAAAAAATAGACATATAATTATGGGAACAACAAATTGTAGCGCCACTACACATAGGTAATAATACACAGCTGCAATCTGTAACATACAAACAAAATTTGTTTCATTAGGTACATGAACAAAACTTTTAGTTGTGAGATATAATTAAATACGTAACTTCATATATATATGGATATTATCATGTTACAAACCTTTTTCTGCAAATCGACATTAGTTATTCTGCCAGCTTCTTTCTTTTGAATCTCCAATCTCTGTATGGCGAGATTTAAGTAAGATTGCAGATATATTGGCATGAGTACAATTTTTAATAAACCGACAACAACAATAATAATCAACCTCAAACTTTCAAACCTTGCTACTGTCATTCTGCAATATAAATTTTTCAATTTTTTTCTGACTTTAGATATTAATTTGTTATATTTTGAAATATCAACTTACAGTGGACCAGTCATACCACTAAATATCCGAACAGTTAAATAATCTCTACTTATGGGCGTAATCCATAGACCCACTAATAGAAGGGGTGATGCATAACTGATATTTGCTATTAGCAATAATAATTTATGATCTTTATAATACCTGCAATTATTTTCTTATATATTAATTAGCTCTCTATATTTCAATCAAATTAAGTTGAATTAATAGAGTTTATCATACCTCAACGTATCCCAATGCATTTTTGACGCCCTCAATCCTGGGAAAGTGAACAAAGATCCCAATAAACCGCACCATATAGCCAGAAAAAACTTCAAGACAATTTTTGAGGCTGGTCCTCTATATATCAAATACATTTGTTAATAAATGTTATCGTAACAAAGCATCACAAATAATTCACGATAAGAAATAATTATCTTTAATTTTATATCTTTAGTATTAAATTGATGGACTAGATAGATTGTACTAAATTTTTGTTTAAAAAAACCTCTCTGTCTAGTTGATAAAAGATAAAGCTCTATTATTGAAATATTACTTCACTAAAAATATCTTACAAGCAACCAATAAAACATGCAACAGATTATTTATTCGATTATTCAATCAAATTAAAGATGAAAAAAAAAATGTAATCGACTTACGTCGAAGAAAGCCCTTGAGTGTCTAAAAAATGAGAAGCACTATGATTGAAACTTGTATATGCCTTTTCCAACCCAATTTCCAATTTATTTTCATCAACTATGAGTACCATCATAGCGATAAGAAGATACGCAAATCCAGTAACGATGCATGTAGATCTTTCACCAACACTTTCTTCCCCCTTGAAATATTGTATCCAGAGGGAAAGTAGTACTTTACTATAAATTATATAAGGAAAGTCACTGTAACATGATTTTTACTCAGCCATTGGAAAACAAGAAGCTTTACAGATTTTTTTGGCGAAAAATTTTAATCCAAAGGATACAATGCAAAGCCCAAGACCACCACGCACCATAGTATACTGAGATTAATCTCATCTTTGATTGGATACAAATAATTGTATGCCTGTTAAGTGACAAAGGAGAAAGATTTTAGATAGTATACTCAACCACACAGAATATTAATACTAGTTAAAATACTGCAAGGATAGATATTTTCATTCATAGAGACAAGTACTTGCGATTGCAAGAGTAGCAATTAAAAAGCACTAACCTCAGTCAGTACATAAACGATGATAGCGTACACAGAGAAATCTAATAGCCACTGATATTCCGTGTAATATTTTAAGTGCACTACATCGAGAGCAGTTATTTTTGCACTTTCAAGCTTGATATCCAGATTTCTAGGGATGTGAAACACATCTCCCACTTTGCCATTTTCGCTGTGCTTTCCTCTCTTTGGTTTCTCCTTCGGCACACCAGCTAACGCTCTTAATTGTTGATCTGTTGGATACAGATATCGTGTCAATCTGTGCAGACAAAAAACAGAGATGACAGACTTTATCATTCCATTGCTATCTATCATTTCTATAATTTATATGTGCAAATACATACCCTGTCGAACATAGGATCCATCTCGCGAAGGAAAAATGTGGACTCAGTTTTTGTATGACGCTGACCATTACAAGAGTGATGACCAATTGCGCTCCTAGAAGAGCCTAGAAGTGCCATTAAAAATACACAAGACTAAATACAAGACGTAAACATAAAGAGAAGAGAGATAAGCCTAAAAAAAAAATACATTTGAAGAAATAAGATGAGTTCAAAACGATTATTATAACCGAAACACGTGATTTCCGCAAAAGAAACGTTGTTTTTGTTATCGTTAAATTTACCATGCTTAACGTGACGTATCGGCGGATGGAAGTTTCACAAGTAGGACCGCTCCATCAGAGATCAGAGGCGACGAGGTTCCCAAGGTCTCGATCAATTTTAATAAGACAGAACGGCGAGGTACGTTCAATTTGTCACGGGTAATGTTTGCTCTACCATCTTAAAGGGTCTACGCCGGTCGCGAGCTGGTTTTATAAATAGTTATAACCTGGCGATCGCATAATATACCGAGCGCACGGAGCCGCTTCGCACGGGGCGACACGAGGTTATTTCCAGGTACCGTCATCGCTGCAGCTGCTGCAGCGAGGAACGGCGCCGCGACAAATCGCGTGTCGACATCTAACCAGCAGCATCGCGATGACATGCGATGTAACCATGCGACGGTCACGTATACTCGAAGATTAAAGTCTGCAATTTATATATACATATATTAATAACATTATTATTAAATTAGTAATTATTATTATTTAACAATAGGTAATTATTAGATACATTATTATTATTTGTGTAACTTACAAACCCCTAGCTTGAGCGCGACACGTAAGGGATGATAGGCGCGGATATGATTCAGCTTGTGGTGATTAAGGGCCGATATCACAGTCTTCGATTAACGTGATCCTCCGATTAAACTCACTCTTCATCTCTTTTTATGGGGATAGTTAGAAAGAGATACAGAGTGAGTTTAATCGGAGACTGTGATATCGGCCCTATAATTATTCTAATTTGATCTATTTAAAAAACGTTCCTTTTTAATTACTTTTCCCCCATAACGATGATTATGATTTTTCAAAGCTTCGTTTTCTGGCAAAAAAGAATTTTCAAGACATGTTCTTGATAAAAATTTTATTTACGAGAATCCATGAATTAAATGTTATTTAAATAATATTATATATATTGAATTATTAATTATATTAATATAATAGTGTAATAAATACATATCTGTTAATTAACACATATCTGTTATACAGATATAAAGTGTATATCTAATATCAATAATAAATAATTTATTATTGATAATATTATTATGTGTATAATACGACATATGATATGTGTAACATTTCGTCACGTTCTTATATGTAAATGCGAGTTTCAACTCCACAAGACACACACATATGCTCGATTATAGCTATAGCAATTCTGCATCGTGTAATTATACGCAGGCCGTGATGAACTGAGGCTCATGTAAATGATTTGCAATGGGGGATATGCACATATACTCTGCGCTGGTCTTTCTTCTGCAATTATTATTATTTCCTGTAAATATAGACAATAATAGCAAACGCGCGATGTTGTTATTGCACATTGGTTCCGATAGTGCTCGGACTAACTACAAGGATTAGAAACGGAGAAACCAGAAATTTCTCGATGCTTAATTACAATTAGATAAATAAATTTTTATTTCGGCAAAATCTAAACAAAACTACAGCACGATTTCGAAATGTAAAAATTGACACGATTAAATAACCGATTTTAAAAGCATCGCAATGCAATTTAGACTTAGAGTAATGACATCACGTGAGCTGCCTCGAAGATATCTGCGCAGATAATCTTTGAAAATTTTCAGAAATCATTTTCCCACATTAGCGAACTTATTTGCATCCTGGAAATTCTGGATCTTCGATTACGTAACTCTAGTAATCATCAGCGTGTGATCCTTCAATGTCTTTGAATAGATCTTAAATAATCCATCTAATGTTGTTCATTGTCGCAGACATCTACGTTAAGCAGTGACGCACATGTGCACATATATACACGCATATAAATACACGCACACAAAAGCTAGTGAGAAAATTATTTATTGTCTTAAATGGCGATTGAATAGTCGGAGGTTTAAGTACAAACAAGTCATTATTACCAACCGTGACATGATTTAGAAGCTTTGAAACGAGAAAAATAGAAAGATTTATTATCAGATTTATTATCATTGTAACCATGCCATTGAAAATAAATTTATCAATTTTGTTAATCGTGCGAACACATGTGCGTTTGGTAACGTAATTGTTCCATTAAAAAAAAAATAATACTACAATAAATACTATATTACAAACTGAGAAAAATATATCGCGCGCGATATTATCCCTAGGCTACAGTTTTTAAAACTTAAAGGATTATATAATCTTATGTCTATCTTTTTTATATACTTTATTTTAGTATCTCTCGTTATTTGCTTCTTTCCTTTCAACAATCTAATCTAGGGCTGCGGTCTACTTGATGCTACAAATGCTGCGTTTGCTAATTTTTTCTGGTTTTTCTCAGATACCTGAGAAAAAAAGATCATTTAGAAACTTCGCTGTCAAGTGGACCGCAGCCTGTAGGAAACTATCGTTTTTTTATCAACACATTGATATAATCGCTTCAGGATTGTTATCACGTTTGCGAGTCTTCATTTCCAACAAAAATCTCTCATGGACTACATACAATTTTCAAAAATAGCGATAGTCTTCTAGTCGACATGCAATCGTAATAACTAAAAATCGCTTGTTTTATTCGGCGATTGTCCCCGATCGAATACTTCGCACGCGGAAACGCGTCCTTTTATGCAGCCCGAACGTGGAGAGAATCGGCGGTATAAAACGATGCGTTCATCAGTTTGCGCGATCATACGCCGAGCAGTGTTGCAGCAGGCAGTGGACCGCGGTTCGTAACGACAGGTTCGTAATATGTTCGTGTTCGTTGTTCTTGCACAAGGAGACTCGTAGGCGGCGTGTCTTTTTACGCTCGATGACGCATGCGGTGTGATTGAAAATTCCCGACCGGCTTTCGTAAAAATTCCGCGAGGAAAATATTTTCATTTAACGCCAGGAAAGAAATTTTTATTATAATGCCGTTATTTATTCGATAATAATCTCTAATTACGCGTTTACTTGCTACATGAATGAGCCGACAATTCAACCGAAGTTTTCAAGCAAAGAATGTTGCCCGAGTTTATTGTTTACACATATACACGGAAAGAACGGTTTTGCTGAAGTATCTAAAAATTTAGCTACACAAATATGAAAATAATTTTGTTGAATCATTAAAATAATTATAATAGGACGCTCAAGAGTATGATGCTGCAAAAATTTTGACATTCTAAGCAAACAGTTTGAGTATCTTGCATAATTATTTTGATAGCTCGACAAAATTATTTTCAAATCTGTATCTGACTTAATTTTTAGATACTTCAGCAAAACTGTTCTTTCCTTGTATACTGTATAATAATTTCCTCTTTCCTTCTTTTATCTTACTCACCGTTATATTATTATATCATTAAATTGAGAATTGTTGCAATATGCTACGTGATATAACGAACGAGTCGAATGCTTCTTGGTTTAATTCGTGGAATTATTTCGCCATGCAATCTCGAATTTCTCATTTTCCAGTGTTTATCAAGCCTAAACAGCAATTATGTCGCCAATGCCATGTGTACTCTTACTCGTCATCTCAATCGCGGCTCTTCCGAGCATCAGTTCCCTTACTTTGTCCCCTGAAAACTGTGTGACCAATTCGGAGTGCCAATCAAGCTCCTGCTGCTTGCTAGGTTTGTCTCTCTTTTTCTTTTCTCGCGTCAAAATTTTAAACGCTCTGAGGGACTGTTCCTTCTAGCGTCAAGAAAGCTTTCTTTCCTACATTATATTTGATTTATATGCAAGATAGCCCCATCGAAACATTGAATAGCAAATCGAAAAACTCAAAAATATATTAGACATACACTTCCAGTTAAGGCACCGTTCGAGTTCTTGATAAATGCGTTGAGTGTTAACTGATGTCCTTTTAGGGCCTTCACGGTACGCGATACCGACTTGCATGCCGTTCCAACAGCAAGGTGAACAATGCCGAGTAAACGCTGACACTCTCACAACTAACTTGTCTTATCCGGACAATACGGAACTGGAAGTTACAGGTGTCCATTCGATCTTGTGTCCTTGCGCCAACGGATTATCTTGCGATCCGAAAAGCGGCATCTGCAATTAGAAGAATTTTCTGTCAATTAAAGTGATCGGAAACATTATGATTATGTAAGGTCAGATATAATATTTGGGGAATCATTGGAAAAATCAAGTAACATTGAAAAAGTATTTTATCCTGTTGACCATCATAATTGGAATATGTTCCAGAAATTAAAGCGTTGTTAATTATTATTATTCTATCTGTTACATTATTATATTATTTTATTCTGTTATGATATTTTTACTATTCTTTAATTATTGTTACTTATACCAGAGAAACGTTAATTAGTAATTGCAAATAATATATTGAAATAAATTGAGAACAGACTCTGTGCATGATTAATAATATCTATAATACTTATGATAGAAAAAAGTTTCAAATTGCAAGTAATATTTTTTAAAAATGTATTTTTATGGCAAGCATTTTTAACAGAATTGCTGTTATGAAATACAATCTGGAATGAAGATTAAACTCTATCTTCGATTTATAAAGAAAAGTCTTTTATTTCAACAGAGGGAAATTAGCAATATTATTTGTAAAACTGGAAGTAACATTAATCTTCAAATAAATAGGAAATGTGTCAATATACAATCGGGCTGGATCTTTTGTGCCTAATAATATTATATTCTAATATTTTATGTGTACATTGTTTTCGCTTAGCAAACTACGCGCCGTTACAGTCAGTTTTGAAACGCAATTTCAAGCTGAAGCTAGAAAAGTATAATCACATATATAATTAAATTGATAATCAATTTAATAATACTGTTACTGCAAAGGATATGTTACGAGATGTTAACGATTTTTTCGAATAATACAATCGAGCCTCTTTCTTTTATAATCGATTGTAATTGTATGAAATTCTAGGAAAAGCATGTCATATCTTTTCTTCTGCATCCATCGTAACATTAAAATTACTCCAAGGAACATAATAGAACGACTTACACAGAATCCTTATTTTGCAAAATTATTTTATATTTTATAATATATTACTTAAGTATGTATTATAAAAATATAGCACAACACTTATATACATATATACGAGTATGGTTATCATAAAATTAATAATAAACATATGTTATTGTTATAATTATTGACTTGTTTTTCTAGACGAGAAGAATATTAATAAGTAACCAATTTTCTCTTTTTATGTTATCTTGCATTTTTTTTACTAGTTAAAAAAATCTCCTATATATATATATATATATATATATATATTTTATTGTAATATTCCGACGAACCACGCGTGTGTTCGTTATTATCGACCTAACGGGTAAATCAGGCTGATAAGTCAGGCTGCTACTATGACCTGGCTTATTACTGCATCAGTGCATCTGCTACCAGTTACCTGTTCTGTTACCGCAGAGAACAGCTACAGCTAAACAGCTGTATATTTAATATATCTAATAATCTATATCTAATGTCAGTTCTTAGCTAAAAAGAACCACGTTTTCAGTACCGAGGTAGAAAGTTTAGGGACTGGTCGTGCAAAGAATTAAAGTACAAACTCAATTTCCAAATGTGTATTCGAATTTTGCCGTTTTTCCGAACGTGAGAATTTTACGTTACAATGTGGATGTGGAGAACGTCAGTTGTCACCGCGTCGGATCGTATATTTCCCGGTCTGTCGTATTACGATCGAAAAAAGGAATTTTATGACATAGGTATGCATTTTGCACGTGTTTGGTGTCGATCGTTGCTATGAGGAACGATAATAGTCGTACATATTTACGCCATTCTAACTGATGATTTTGTTACTGCCGTTATTTAGTATCGCGAACCATCGATTAATGATAAATAAGGAGATATTTTTTGAAAATTGTAAGATACGAGACAATAGCGTTAAAATTAGTAGAGAAGTCACGCTCGTTTTAAGAAAAACTATGATATGAGAAGACCAAAATATGAACAAAATAAAGATTGTGTTAGTTTAAAGTGATATCTGATTCATTTTCAATAGTAGTACGAATATTTAACGTTTCGACTATATTTAGTCTTCTCCAACAACATAATAGTATTAGAGTTAATCAATGAATTTTTTTGCGATTGCAGAGCTAATTATTAAGTTTTAACAGTAGCGAGACGCGTAACTTAAACTTCCAATAAAATTTAAAACTCGACTAATTGTAAGCTTCTATAATGAAACTTCCAACTTCACTAGTTTAATAATTAAATTAAATTTTGCATATTTATAGAATCTTTTACACATATATATCTTTATATGGTTTACTATTTGCTTTCTCCAGGAAATCAGATACAATCCAACTTACCACTCCAAATGGCATTGTATTTTAATGTGTGGGTGTATCCCCTGTGGTTCTTTGTGATACTTGTCAATTTAGATGCGAAAGTAAATATATAACAAAAATATAGTAAACTTCTTAAGAGAAATCTGGAGGTAGAACGGAGAATAGACAGATATTTCTTATTTTACAGTACTATTACTTGACGGACGTATATAAATTTATAACTGTAGCTGTATTTATTGTTATATCAATATTGGAAGGTATACGACTTTACTTGGGGTATCTTGGGAACTTAGTGGAGAAGGTAATTTATCAATAAAATAAATTGGTCGAGCGGATGTTAGGATTGAAGTTCTCTTCGTCTTTACACAGATTCCAGAATTGGCGAGCTTCTGGCTGATATCAACCCTCATACATTTCCCTTTAGAGATGTTCCTTCTTTTCGACAGCAAAACCAGACCTCATCTTAGCGAAACGATCACCAACGGTATCATGGCGTTTCTGCTCGTTACAGAAATTATAACAGCTACTGTAGCTTTAAAGAAGTCGGCAGATCATCATGCTAAACGGTTTTATGTCGCACAGTTATATGGGATCGACAATAGTGGACATTAATTAATATGTATTTATTTTATTGGTTTCGAGAATTGACAATATTATACCTCTCATGCACAATGAGAGGAATAAGGAACAAGAAATTAAACATAGGCCGGTATTTATAGTCGGATATTAATGTCCACTATCATCACTGTGTATGGGCTCTTATATATTGCACTGATAGTATTATTGCATTATTAACATGCTAAAAGACTTAATGTAACATGAATAACGAATATGTTACATTTGAATAAGAGCTGATTTTTGTACTAGTATATAAGAATTTATGATCTTTTATACATAATAAACATGCATAAGTTTTTTTTAGCTTCGTTCCATTTTCTTTTTTTAGATGTAACCTATTTATGTATCTTTTCAGACAGTATCTTTTCTATAATAAAGATGAAATATCGAACTTTAACAATATATTTTACATTATACCACAGTATATACTTCTAGATTATGATCATTATAAAATGCCTTTAAAGCTATCACATTTTTCCTCAGATTTATTAAGGAAAGCTCCATATTATTTAAAGTAACTTCTTCTTTCCCCGTTTCTCCATCCGCTAATGCTAGTAAGAGCTGTGAACGGGAAGGTGTCATACGTGATAGGAGCTGCAACAAAATCAATGTTCCAACACAATGACATAACCATTTTTAACTAGTTATTAACGTCTAACGTACATATGCATATAAAAAAAAAGAATAATTACATTAAACAATTGTTGTGCCATCCAACCGTGATAGGGCTCAAAAACTTCTTTGTACGCTTCTCTCAAGAATGCGACCAGATCTTCTGTTGATTCCCCAGTTTTGTGATCTTCCACGATTCTTTCGAAGAATAATAAAATCATATGCAAGGCCCTAAAACATAGCAATCGTTGAATAAAAGTTTTATATGCAAGCATGTATTCGAAAGAGAGAGAGAACTTACAGATACGTTTAATAAGAAATAACGACCAATATGTATATAGTACAAAAGAGATATAGACATTTACAGTCATTGGGTAGATTTTCTGCCTAATAGTAACTTATGTGAGTTTTGTATTGTACATTTCTTATATGTGTTGGACTATCTGCCAATTATTATTATCGGTTTTAAAACAGAATCTTATACCAAAGTTAAAAATATAATCTTATATTATTAAACTGATACATAATTTAATATTATAGACCTGATGAACATCTTGTAAACTTAAAAAGAATTTATTACAAAGGATGAAACAAAAATTATTGTTGGGCATAAGACTGTGCTTAATGACTGAAAATGTCACAGCGTTTGCAGATACAATATTTAATACCTTCTTAACCACATTAAGGCGTCAACCGCAATGAGATCTTTTTCTGTAGATTTTTCGAGTAAGATCATGTCTTGCAGAGTCGAGTTAGCGATTTTATCCATAGAATACCTGGTAGTGAGTTTCTGTGAATGGAAGAACGTACAATTTTTAAGATCCATAGAGACTGTCAAAACCATCCTTGTGTAGAAATTGTTTAACTTACATCGATGTTGCCCTGCATGTCGTATCGTATGGGCGCAAACAATTTGCCAAATTTATCTGAAACACAGATTTGTTCCTGTCGCGCGTCATGCTGTATTTAGAACAAGATTCGTGATCCGTCGGCGGCGTTCGATTCCGTAGCTTTTCGAGCAAATTTGAGGTTAAAATCGTGAATAGGTACGCACCGACTATCAGCACGACATCCCGAGCGGCCTGCAAAAACTCCTCGGTGCTTATCTTGTCGTCGATTATTTCAGGAAATTGCACTCTGTTACCGGATCCTGTTACTGCACAAGCGTTTTCCCGAACGGATGACATGTTCAAATGCACATGCGTTCGACACACTTGGAAATAACAAAATAACGCCGCTATGTCATCTGCAATGCGTCGTCTACAATGGCAGCAGGAGTATACAGTGAGACGTAAGCAGTAAGTTATTGACTAAATGGGATTTTTTACAATTCACAAGAATAAATCGACTGTGGTTGGTCAATAGCTTACTGTTTACGTCTGCTGCATACTCCCACATACTCCTGCTGTCATTGTAGACGACGCTTTATATGCGGTTTTTCGTGATTGCTCACGTGCTTGAGGAAAAAAGTCCGACTATCGGCTGACTATCGCTGTATTACTATCAGTACTAATAAGATTTGCGATAAGAATCATTTAAATACGTCACGTTAATATTTTTGCAACAATTTTATATGTAGCTTGTATAGAATGTATAGTATCACACAGGATACAAGTAAAAATATATAAATACTTTCTTATATATATATTTTATGTATGTTTTCTAAAATAATATTTCTAAATAATTTCTTCAATTGTTGAAACATGACAAATCACATTAGTCGCATTCCAGGTAAAATTAGTAATCTCAAACTGTATTGGAGAGCCTTAATTTATCTTTTCCTGGTCTATTAATTTTTTTCATAGATTATATTCCTAGTTCATTAAGCCTGTTCATTGATTATATAATATATACTTACTATAAACTGTGGTAATCACATGTAGTATCACATATTGACCGTGTATAAGCTTAACGTGAAGGAGAAATGGGTAGAAAAGTTGTTAGTCGTATTTCTAACTAATTTTGTATTTTTAATTTGATACATAGATTATTCTTGCCAGTTTGCCGGAATTGGTGGTACAATATTGTCTCGTAATTGTTGGTTCACTAGCCTAATTTATTAAAATAGTTTAAGATATAATACTGTACATATATACGCTTAACTGTTTGAGTGCTGAGGGTGGTCGTAAAAATTTGCGGGAAAAATGTCAAGCAGCGCGTCCGCGCTGCTCCTGTTTCACGTCGGAAAGTGTTATAAATGTCACGATAAGTAAAAATAAAATTTACTGTATATACATTTTTTATCTTTTAATAGGAAGAAAACGATAGGGTTCGATTAAAGCCTAATTCTGAGAATAGCAATAGAGGCTGAGCGCATTATCAGCTTGCCGCAGCGCTCGTTGGCACTTTTCGACATGTAAAGTGAACAGTATGATCGCGCTGCGTGGCACTCAAACGGTTAGTGATATATAGGTGCTCTAGCAACTTCCGATTTTATGTCAATTGTTTTTTTAGAAATTCTACTTATATACGTGTGTCTAATTGCATACATAATATAAGATTACTCTATGAAATTTCCGCAACGCATAATTACACAAGCGCACTTCCAATATCTTATACGCTAAATATATTCCTCGTTTGTAATACTCAACGCATTTGTGCACGTTACGGATCTTATGAATTAATTTGTCTACATTAATAGGAGTTGAGACTATGGCTCATGACACGATAGAGACTATTGTTACAAAATAAATTATTATAAAGTAGTTCCCTGCGCATATTCGACAACATGGAAAGAGTTGTACGTGAGCAAGATGTGTTATCAAATATTTGTCATTTGACTCTGCCATTATACATTATTATATAAAATCCATATCATCTATATGACAGTTACATATATGTAGTGGATAGAAGCTTTTATTTGATTCTTAGCTGTACAAATTGTATCTGAAAGTATAATCAATAATATAAATACCTCAAAATTTCACTGTTAGAGTTTCTAATAAAATAGCAGTAATAAACCAGAATTTTTTCAACTTTTACGTGCAAATTACGTTATATCTCCATTCCAGCCGAAATCGTATTTGTATTTTCAGAAGCAGAAGATATATAATGGCAGTATAATACTTTGATTAATAATTCTAAAAGAAAACTGTGATATCACTGAGATATCTGGACGATTAACGTTATGTTCTCACATAAAAAAACTAAGGATTTATTTTGATATTATTTTACATTCATAAAATTAAAAATATTACATACAACTCGTCATGAAAATTAAATTGTAGATATTTTCATAGATATTATTTTCCAAATTTTCTCACTCAGTTGCATTTATTACAGTAATATATATATATATATCTAAAAATATCTCAGTTTTTCTATGCGGATTTATTAACAAATGTAATTAGCGCGTAAGAGACATCATTAGAAACTTTATTTCTGTACACATTTAATTAAAATACTTAATAAACTTTTAAACGAGGAACAAATAAAAAATATAACATCTTTAGATAATTTACAATATGTATATTAAGCCAATATTGCTTACGAACTGTAACAATCTTCGCCGGACTAGAAAATAAAATTATGCATCATTGTTTCTGCTGACCTTTAAAAGGCAGTAGGAAGAGGATGTTTGATCACATTCCCGGTGGAGTCTTCGGCAACGAGGGTAAGAGTGGTGAGGCAGTGGGGCGGAGGTGGTGGAACTAAAGCCTCCAAAGGCGGTCGTAAGCCAGGAAATTGGCGGGAACCCACAACCATCCCTCCCGACGTCTCTCTAAGCTCTATTACTCGTACTCCGTATCGTGATCTCACCACATTCCTTATGGAGAATAAAATCACAGCTATTAAAAACAGTCATGCTGAAACTTACTTGATTTTATTACTGATATACTATAAGCAGAGTAGTAAATAATTTTATAAGAGATTAGTCGTTAGAAAGTCATTTGACGCTTAATTATTTATATCGTTCTAAAACGAGAGCATATTGTCGATAACAGTCAACTCACCTTTTCCCATCGTATTCTATCTCGTGATGATGCCTATTAGAAAAATTGTCCATTTCGCTATTAAACCAGCGATGGTGCGCGAGTAACGCTGCGCATGATGGACCCCAGAATGTCCGATCAGGCTGTGAAGGAGGTTCCGAGGCGATCAGACTTTTAGAGAGAGATCTATTAAGCTCAGGACTAGCTGGCGCTGATAGTCTTCCGGGCAACTGTCTCGTAGTGGACGACGGCGCGGGTCTAGATGTTTCCGAGAGTAATCTGCCCCTTCGTGGGCTTGATATTACGGCTTCTTGCACAGTTACCGTAACGCTGAGTGGTCGACTGAGGGCGACAGTCGTGTGTTGGGGGTCTCTTCTAATAGGATTACGATTGAAATCGATTCCCGCCGCGCCCACGAAAACCCTGTCGACGTAATCGAATCCTCGACCCATTATTCCCTCTCGTGTGTGGCCGAGATCGAAGGTGTGACCAAGCTCGTGTAGAACGGAGCCTAATGTCGTCGCCAAACAGCCACCGTGCGTGCCACGATAATTACTGTCGTCCATGAGCTGCTCGGTGTCGATGACAGTGGCGTCCAGGAATCTCGATAATACCTGTTAAATTATACGAAAAATTCTATTTTTTAAATACTCTTTTCGGTAACATTTTGTATGAAATAAGAAGCAAAATTTACACGGATCTTTTTTGTCACATCGAATTGTCTTATGGCTCTTGCACACGAGACGTCCTGTGTGCAGGAACCATTAGTCAGCGATCAACGTTAACCAACCTGAGCCATACACGTAGGCCAGGTGTGAAGACACGCCGAACCGAAGAGCGCCAGGCCACCTCCGCCGAGGGCCGCATGACCCTGTGTTCTCATCAAGGTGTCCTCGTGCGTGCGAGGGCTGGGCGCCCCGCGGTACCTCGTGCACGACAAAAATGCCAGGTATTTGCGATCTTTGGACGCTAAGGGACCGGTCATCAGCTCGCGTGCGATTAACTCCCACAGTTCTCTTTGCTTCATCGCTCGCGCCTGGTCCACGTGAAGCATACTGTGCATCACCAGGCATTCCGGGCCGTCCAGGTCTCTTTCCAGCTGGAAGGTTTTTCTACCATAACCGGCTTCTTGAAGCTTCTCGGCTGTCAAGGTCTGCAGAAGCCTGGCACCGAGCCCTATTCTCGTTGCCGCGCTCTCAGGTGATCGATCCTCGTTGCGTGGACCCTGAAAACGCAGACCGTGACCTATCAGATAACTTCGATGCGAACAAGTCGCGAGATCATAATCGTTTCATGAAATTGAGCAATCAAGAGAGAACAATCGTATTATCATGCCGGAACAACGTAGGCAAGACTAACACGGCGACATGGCTATTCATGCAACAGAATGGCGATCGATAATTGGAGAAGTGCACGCTACGTTCCAAGTAGTCTGAATTTATGAGTCACGATCACTTATCTACATTATGTTCATTAAGTATCAATTGTAGCTAATCGAAAGGTTTCCTGACTGCGATGGAGTCTTAGTAATATCGATTAAAATACGATTATTGAAATAATCTGGCGATCTGTGACTTTAAGCGATCATGCAAACTGTAAAAATAATTTCTATCACATTTTACTCGAAGGATTACTATCGCTATAGTTATATACAGCTATAATTTACTCTTGTCGCTACCTGAAAATAACCATCGTGACCCGCGCAGATGACGTAGACCGGTGTCACTCGCAGCCTGGTGGTTCTCGGTTCGTATATCAGGACCAATCTTCTTTTATGCCCGCCCGCCTCGAGTTCTATTTTGTTCGGACCGCGTGCCAGATCCACCAGAACACGGAATTGCCCGGCGATGATCGGCCACTCCGAGGTCACGTTCTTGTGACCCCGAACGGTAATGTAACTGCATAGCGCGGGTGCACGACCCCTTATCAGGGCCAAGCTGTAAGTCAAGGTCTCGCCGTCTACCAAGTTGCGTATCGTGATGCCTTCCGGGTTACCGTTCGTCGTGAAGGTACGATGACGGTGGTGGTTGTTCGCCAATGTCACGTCCGCAAGTACCTTAAATATACAGGCGCAGGTATCTCGTATTTGTACTTCGGCAACTGAGTATTTCTTGTGCACCACTAAGGCGTCGAATATAAACGCAAATGTATGAATTTGCTATTATAATCTTTGAAAAATTTTTGCCGTTTGTTATATTACATTATTACTATTTCTTGAGAAAGACTAACAACTTACTCGCTTCTCTCTCTCTCTCTCTCTCTCTCTCTCTCTCTCTCTCACGCGCGCTCTCTCTCTTTCACGCGCTCTCTTTCTCTCTCTCTCTCTCTGACAATTTATGATAATTGAAACTAAATTAAAAATTTTGATTTATAACAAAAATTTGAAAAAATCTCAAACATGTTTCCGTTATATATGTCGCAGGGATTTCGTGTGTAATTCGTTTTTTTTTTTTTTTTTCAAATTCCTAGGGAATCCACAAAAAACCGCGATATTGTGGAATGAATAAAAATTACACAATATCTTACTAGTGATTTTGCAAAATCCTGTCAGTAAAACCTGTGAATTTATATTTATAAATGTATTGTGACTTATAAATATAAATATAATTACGTGAATTTATATTTATATATAAATTATATTTATATTTAAATTAATAATTTTTATTTATTCCACAGTATCCCAGTTTTTTGTGGATTCCCTAGGAATTTTTTGGGGAAAAAAAACGAATTACACGAAACCTTGCGACATACACAATTTAAATTGCAGGAAATTTATTAGTAACATCTTGGGTACAAAATCTGATTGTCCATCTGTGACTATCATCTGTTATTGACTATTGGCGCGGAATGAAATCCATCATCCTAATCTTAATCCGATTAGGTTTCCTGAAGGATACAACGGTAAATACACTTTAAAGGCATCGAAGCTTTATCGACTGCAGTCGACTTTTCTGCCGTACACACAAAGGCTCGGCTTATTATAGTAAATTTCTGCGTAGGACAAAGATTCCTATTATTGGGTTATACTATAGGGTACGAGATGAAACTGCGCGCGACATTTTAATTAATATTCATACCTTATTAATTTTAATGACATTTTAATCAATATCGCGATTTTATAGAATCATATACAAAATTTAAAAAACCACAATTTTTAAAGAAATCTCAATTTTATAGAATTATAAAAAAAAATTAAAGGAACCATAACTGTGTAAAGCTGTTGTAATCTTTTCTGATATACAAATATATACATTCTTATAAGTATCTCTCTCTACCGTATATGCGTTCATATATATAGGACACAGAATAGAAAATAATCTCAAGTGTATACGAAAGTATCGTTCAGTTTGCGATTTGTTTTGTAAGAAAGCTCAAAAGCTTTGTGGCTCAATAAGTTAAGGAACAGTAAGTTGTGCTACTTATTGTTAGTTTCACGTCGCATTCAGAACTCTTTCGAAAGCGGCTTAATCTCCCACGAGTAAAGAAAAACAGATCGATACCGCCAATTCCCGAGCGGACATTCTACAAATACTCGAATACGAAATGCGCGGGGTTTCATTTCCTGGTTTTAATTACTACGGAATAGAATTACTAATACGGAATAGGACTGGTCGTCCAAACACGAGTGCGATCTGTATATTTCATTAAATGATCAATATGTCCGCACGAGCAGATGCATATTGATGATCTTTAGACAGAATATATCACATAGTGCTTTCAAAATTACGAATGTTCTGAACGCAATTTCACATGAGCCATCTCTTTTCCTTCTAAATCGAGAATAATTAATTGTAAAAAAGATGATTCAAGTATCATAATACATTATGACAGGATTTTTAAGATCACTGAGACAGAGAACGATCAAATCACAAAAATATCTCAAGTGACAGATTCAATATAGCGAATGCAAAACATTTCTTCAAATTTTAATGAAAATTTACTATTGGGATTATCAGAATTGTAAAATGTAAATCAATTTATAAAACAATATAATAGAAAATATAATAAAATAATAGAAAGTCATAAAGTCATATGATAGAATATGACGAAACGATGTATATTAATACGAATGACGTATCCAAATTACAGCACTGTTATGTTTCTTTGAGAAACATAATAATTAATAATAATAATAATAATAAAAACATTATAATTTGTTTCCTTGAGAAACGTAACAGTGCTATAATTTGGATAAGAAACATAAGAAACTCGCGAGTTTCATTTATACCTTATATAACACGGTATGTTTTCCAAAATGTATATCATCAAAAATGTAATTTAAGTAATAGTCGCGGGAAGATAATGCTGCGCAAAAACCTTTCATTATTAGTATGAGAACTTTTGGATCTACTATTACGCAAATAATTTCTTGTATTTCACGATAGTATTAACATTTATCATATATTTTAGTTAAACTTTATGCAATCTCCTTTTGAATGAATCCTATTTGATCTTGATAACAATATTTATTTTAAAAATATGACTTTTAAACATATATATTTTACTAGACGCGAAAAAATTAATTACAAAAATCATGATACGTCGCACCATTTGTTATAGTTTTATAACGACTTAGGTCCATTTCTATTAATGCGGAGTAACTTTAATCTCGGTTTATCTTACTTTATGTCTCTCCAGTTCTAACAATTAGAAAAAAGATAAAAAGTAAGTTAAACCGAGATTAAAGTTAATCTACATTGGTAGAAATTGGCCATTAGAAAGACCCGTTCTTCCCTGACATTTCGAATTCTCAGATTGAATGCGACGCAATTAGAAATTAAAGCAACTAGGTGGACTAATATCGACGCGAATTAACTTTTCAAAGCGTTACGCAACGCGTTGGAAGTAAGATTTCAGTCGCAATACAAACGTGTCCAACGGGACACAAATAAAAAAAAAATAAAAAAAAAAGCACAAATAGATGACGTTAAAACTTTGAGGATATCAGCGCAAGGGGCCTTCCCGTCGCGTGCTGCGATCATGCGGTAAATTTCGTAACCGTGAGACTAAACCGCACACCGACGCGACCGGACCGGACCCGATCCCTCGTCCTTCCTGTCATTATATTAAAGCGCGTCGCATTAAGTGCAGGGCGGATACCGCATTTTCTACGTCTCGCGTCTCCTCTATTGCTCGCCGACCGCCGTTCGATTTAACTCCGCCGACTGCAGCCGCCCAGTTTGTGCCAGTTGCCTTCGCCCGAAGGCGATTTCCGTTACACGCGGCTAACCAGTTGCAAGTAAAACAGATGACAGAACAGCAGACGACGTGTCGCAGCTGCGGCACGTCTGGTTGCGGTCACGCACCTCCGTCAACGCACCGAAAACCCGCGCGCGCGAGATATCCCGCGAGGAGAGAATATGATGCAGCACGCGCCTGAGATCCGATCCGAGTCTCTCTTGTCCGAGAACCCCCATGTCATTTCTTTTCTTTTTTGTTAAGGGACTCTCTTTCGGCCATACAATGTCTTTCCGGTCCGAGCAACAACCCCAACCTTAATTCTTGGAAGAGATCTCTTACTGTGCGCGCGGCCGTTTTGGGTAATACGAGATATAACAAGGAGTAAGGTAACAGGTACGTAAGGCGAGACACTCCGGGTTTCGTCGATCGACTTACCATTCTGTTGACGGGGAGACGAGATGGAGGAACGACGCTGCCGACAAACCCGTGTGAACCCGTACTCCGCCGGCTCCTGAGTCAGACATGCGGAGATAGAAACTGGCGCCGAGAAGGCCATGGCGAGTGGCGGGTTGCAGTACTATACGGCGCCGTCGCAGCGGCGCATGCAGACGTCGACGTCGCCCGCACTCGCACCCGCGTCCTCGTCGCGTCCGTCACGTCCGCCCCCGTCTCCCTCGACCCCCTCCCCCCTATTCTCTCTCTCTCTCTCTCTTCCTCTCTCTCTCTTTCTGTCTTTCTCTCCCTCTGTCTCTTTCTCTTGGGTGCTGCCGGGAGTGCCGGGTGGTCCTCCCTCGAGCGGTATGTTCGCGCTAAACCGTCTATCCACCCCCGTCGTTGGCATACTGCGTCACCACCGATGTACATACATATGCCGCGTGTGCGACGGCAAAATGCGACGCGAGCTGCGAACTATAGGCTTGCGAGATGCACTGCCGACTCTGCGCTTCCTTTTATTTACTACGGAAACAAACAAAGAAACAAACAAGCGAGCCCTTATTCGGCAGTTTTGCGATCAAATATCCGCCTCGTTGCTCTATTGTTGTTTGTTTAACTCTCTAAATATCAAAAGCGTATAGTCTCGCGATTTTTCCCTGACGCCAGATTCGCGTCAGAGATTCGACAAAATTCTATTCGTTTTATTATTCATTTAATTAGGACAGAGCCGTACATTTTCACATATTCATGTATTCTAATGCACGAATATTCTGTCTTGAATTCTCACACGAATAGTAAATCTAAAATTTTAGCTCTGGCTTTGTTTTTATATTTTCTGGATTGTGGTTATTATTGTAGTTTTTTCTCTTTTTTTTTCAATCTCGAGAATAATCAGAAATACGTGCCCCGCGAGCAGAGTGGCTCATCTTTTATACGGATTCAGGAATAACATGTCCACGAAAATCCACCAAGATAAATCGCAGCTTACGATTTACGGTGGTGGAAGTGTTCTTGACGGCGAGTCACATGTTGATCGCCACTTTTATAAATTGCACAGATGGTTATACGCGAGAGTATCGTTTTTTTTTCTATCACAATGAAAATATCCACACGCTCGAATTACCTTCCGGTTGTCGCACGCGAACGAAGCTAACGCGTTTTACGACAATAAATGAGTAATATGAGTGCTTTCGATGAAGACGAGGATGTTTACGGTCTGGGAAAGATTGAAAAGGCGACCACGCGTATATTTGCGTATCTGCCTAGAGGGAATTGATTCTTGTTAAAACATTCTTGTCGTTAAGTTCTTCGACTATTATGATTTATGACTTGTCTGTTCCTTGATAAAACGATCAGATTACCAGTGAAAATTCACGAAACTTTCTCACGGCATTTTATTTTGTTATTAAAATATTAAATATTTAGTTCATTTTTAATAATAAAATCAATAATATATTTAAATATAAAATATTTCATATATTTTATTATATATTATATTAAAATGATTTTTTTTATTATCGTTTATATAAAATATAATGTAGATGATATTTTGATGTTCAATCTTCCTCTTTTCGTACATACATTTTAAATTAAAGTAGATAAGCTATGATATTTTTACACGTTTAATGTTGAAGTGTATTAATAAAGACTGTTAAAATGTAACTATATACTTGTGATTTTAAGATTATTCAAGAACATGTAATTTATATTGATAGATGAGACTGATATATATCGACAGAATTATTTCAACATTATACAGTTTAATTACAGTTTATCTTTAACATTACAGTTGACCAACTAACCGAAACGCAATTAATTAACTTTCCCCTTTAAGTTTCCCATTAAGTTCATGCTGCAGCAGGCGTTGTGCCAAAATTTCTGACACGCTTTCAAGTCTCCGAAGTTGAGCGCGCTAATTTCATTCGTTAGTGGCTTGCGTTGCTTCCAAACGGATTAATTAACGGAGTAATGAGTCTTCGGGGAGTAATAAGCGCGAAGTATCATTCAACGAGCAGAATTAGCGCGTAGGACGGGCGAGAACCAGCCCATTTGCGAGTTCTCGTCACAGTGATCTCCACTTCTCGACATGGCTGAAAAGATCGATAGACGTGCATCCACTTGGGCGAGTGTTCGCGTATTCGTCCAGCCGGTGAATTACGCTTGAAAGGGGAAACTCTTCGTAGACTTCCGACAGGAATCCGATTTAGACCGTTGAACTTCAAGGAAGAATTTCTGCCCGCCGTCAGCGCTTTGGATCGCACGTGCCATAGCGTTAGATACACCCGAGATAGTTCATACACGCAAACCGAATCGCCCGATGTAAGTCAAATGCGGTTGAAATTGCGCCGCGCTGTAAAGTCGCTTCGGACAAATCAAAGCAAAATTCTGAAATTCTCCGGGGCAGGAACGCGATCGAGTTATTTGCATAAAATGTATACAACGATTCGCGAAACGTGCAGGTGCTATCTCGCGGGCATCGAGAGGGTAATCGTCGTTCGTGGCAAACGAAACACGAGAAATCGTTTCGTATAACAGAGCCTCTCTTCGTTCTCTCCGCGTTTCTGACGATCGTGCAAACTCCTGCAATCGCGATGCGATTGCGATTGTATAAAGTTATATTTCCTCCCGATTAAAAGTGTTGATACTTGATACCTCTTCTTGTTTCCGCTTCCCCAATATCAAAAGTGTGTTTAAACAGATATTTGCATCACATATCTACAATTTTAACTTATAACAGGTGCATGACACAGCTTACGATGTAATTTTTCTTAATCGCTCGCAGATTGAGACACATTTTTAGTTCAGCCAAAAGTTCGGCATCGATCGAGATGCATTTTTAATGGCAGCGTCCGAGTTTCTGCATTAAAGAGAGTATCTTCATACAAAATTCAGTTAAAAATTCGAAAGTTGACGATACTTTACTTGAACGTGATATTGAACGTGATACAAGACGACATCCTGAATAATTACAAAGTTTCAGCAGTTCTTGATGGTGTTAATGAGAAATCTTTCGGTGTCAACGTTGCAAACTAGGAATGTCTGAGCTGTCTGAGATTGAAGATGCCTCCGAGTCAAGCATGTCAAGGTCGTGCCCGTTCTGAGTATGCGGCAGGTGCCACATGGCACGACTTGCACGCATTTGCATCCGATCGTCGACGCGGTCGTGAGGAGAGACGACGTAGGGCGGCTTCGAGGTCGGGCTCGGAATAAATTCGGTAATTTCCACGTTACGTTGTACCGTTCGTTTTGACGCAATGTTGCGCAATAAATCCATATCCATTCGGAATTTTGGTAAATACAGTTAAACGGCAGGAAAGGTTCCTTAAAGGTCTTCTTAAAATGTACGATGTGACTTTATTTCCAAACGTAATACCATGAATAGTAATACCTTTCTGTTTGACTTTCCTTAAGCTTGTTTATTGAATTCTGAAAGATCGATTTCAATTCGGATTTACGTCCATAATAAAATTAGCTATTTCAATTACGGAGCTACGTTAGTCAGAACACAAAATTTTATGAAAGCTGTTAAAAGATTTTGCGAGCGCTCCTTTAATTTGGAACATGCAAAGGGCAAAACGCGCACTATTGATTTTATATCTTCAACATTTTTCCTGAGTCTCAAAGAAAAAAAGATAGAAATCCAAAATATAAATTCACATTCATGATGTTGATTGTAGAACTTAATTTTACCCCCCAAAAATTGTAATATTTAAATTAATGCATCGCAAGCTGCGTATTGATCTGAAAGTTCGACGATAGCATAAGGCCATTACTTGTAGTGCCGGCCGTTCAATAAAAGTGCTCTACTACCTGCATAAAATGGAAATATGGTTATACGAAAATCATGGCAATATTATATTTTATTTCCTTTTAGGATGACGCAGCAGAATTTTTTTCAAGTGCACGATGCTACCATTAATCTCAAAATATGGAGATTCCTCCGTATATTATTTCCTATGACGCATCTCCGTACCTTTCGCATTGCTATGAGTCGCTCGAACGGAAGAGCTCGATCCTATCCTCGATAATCCTTGAGATAAATTGCTTTCGGTTTGGTACTGTAAAGAAATGTATGGCATATAAGATATCCTATCAATCAAATACAACCGGACGACGATAATACAAAAGAAACCGCGATAAATTCTAAGAGAATTGTTAGTGGTATGTAAAATTAATATTAATTTCTTACAAGTTTTAATATTCTTAAAAACATATAGAAAATTCTTTAACGAATATTGCTGAAATTTATTGAAGCATTGAAGAAACACTAGTATGCTTTGAATATCATAATTTATGAATATTCATGACACATACATGTATTATAAAAAATAATTGATACAAAACTCTTTTTGTATTTAAACTTTGTGTTTTGTAGTCAGTTTTCTATCTTATAGGTTCTTTATCGTATAGGTTTTTTATTTCAATAATTTTCACAATAAAGACAATTTTAAACTTATAAATGCTCCCGCAAAGGTCGGTGAATTTTTTATTTCTTACAGATAATGATATTTCTAATTAAAGCCAATAAATAATTCTTCCCTAACAGTTCTTCTTAAAAAATTCATATTCTTCATTATGATATGTTATCGGTTATTTTTCTCAAGTCTTGGTATCTTTCTTCGCATCTTTCTTCCCATACTTGCCCTGGGAGAAAAGTAGATGCGGTCGCGGAAGATGCGAAGAGATCCACGGCAGCTTCGTTTTTCCGTGGCGCATTAGAGACCGTCGCGTCGTCGCGAGGAGAGAAGGAAGACACGTCTCGCGGCTGCGGGGGCTATTATCGCGATCGCGGAGATAGTAGGCCAACTTTCGAGATGACAGTTTTATTCTCCGTGCATGGCGGACTTTGCAAAAGCGAGCCGGCCGGCGCAGCGAACCTCCCGGAGCGTCGTACGGAGCGCTGCGGGGGGGAAAGGAAAGAAATCCTCGAACACGTTTTCGCTACTTTCCGAGCACGATATCGTGAGAATTCATGGTGAAAAGTGGGCCCCGTGGATCGCGGCGATCCGCGCGAGGATAAAAGTTGAGAAACCGAGGGAAATCCCCGCGACGCGCGCGACCTAGGACGAAAAATCGGCGCGCGCGCTCGTTCGATAAACCACTGAG